GACAATCCTGATTGTATTTGATGGACACGACACTGCCGAGGACTACCAAACCCTTCTGGAGGATCATGAGCACCTGATGCTCAAACCGTGTATCAGCATGATCATGCACCAACACACACAGCAAGACTTGTGACAGAAGGGTTTAATGAAGATGAAAGTGACGTTGAACATCTCCCTTGGTCTGACAGTCACCAGATCTGAATATTATTGAGGTGTTTTGGAGGAGCGAGTCCACCAGCATCATATAGTGACCTGGACACTGTTCTGGAAGAGGAACGGCTCATAATCCCTCTGGTCACTGTGAAGGACTTCTATCTGTCAATTGGTGCTGTATTTGGATGCAAAATGAGGCCCTCACCATTCTAACAAATTATTGTGTAGTAAAACCAGGTGTTTCAGTTTTTTTGTCCAACCCCTGTAAATCGCCCTCAATGAAAGAAGCTTCCCCTGGGACCACAGAAGGATCTGGCGCGCCAGCCTATATATAAGAGACCACCGATGGTGACCCCTCAGGTCTGGGAGGAAGTGCTTCAGAGCCTGAAACACCGCCATCATTTCTAGACAATTTATATGCAAATGAAGATGATGACCCTGCCACAGACCACGGTCCGAGTAACCACTCATGATCGCCCCCCAGCCCGTGAGGGAGGCGTCCGTCGTTAGAGTTACACGACGACACAGAACTCCCAGCACAGGACCCAGGGACAGGAACCAAGGTTCTTTCCACATAGCCAGGGCACGGAGACAACGTCGCAATTATTGTCAAAATAGCTGGCAACATAAGTGAGTATACCCTATGTTGTTTAACCATGCAAAGCCAAGTCACATGTCCTATTCATTGTTAAGGCAAAAATTCAATAAACAGACATCACTTCGTAAGAGACACTCTGAGTCAAATTAATAAAGGAAAAGGTTTATTATTCTTGCAAGAACAATAAGGCTCAGTCACCAACACAGATTACTGCGAAGTGGAGTGACGCCCAGAACACAGGCCGGGGTGAAGACTAAATAGCCCTCCCCAAGGTTATTTACTGCAAGCCGAGCCTTCTCTGTAAATTTCCACAAAGTTATAGGATTCATGATGCCAGGTTAGATTTACTAACCCCCTCAACCCCTCCCAGTCTAAGATGACCCCTGACCCGGCCGGTCCTCTGGTGCCTAGCTCCACTCTTGATAAGGGAGAACAATTAATACATGTGAGATTAAAATTCCCCACAACATCATCATGTTCATATTTTTTGTCTGCTTGAGAGGACCATACAAATGTGTGTATCTTTTTAGCCTGGATGCCAGCCCGAACCCCGTCCACAACATTTTTTGGTGGGGAAGTTCGGTCTGGACGCGATCCATTGAGGAGTAAATATGATCAGTAAAATAATGGTCGGGCCAATCAAATTGCCAGGGCAGGCTTTATACGATGATGGACAGATGATCTGCAGTTACGTAATCATCACATCATCAAAGAGCGCTTGGTTTGAATTGGTTTACAACAAAGATGACTGCAGCTAGAGAACTGAGATGTATAGATCTATCACGCGATCACACTGTTTTAGAAGAAATCGACAGCATATTCATTTTAAAAGACGAACTGCAATAAAGGCATATGTCGATCGTCAAGATGTGTTTGCCGTCCTTCCTACAGGATTCGGCAACTCATGTCAAAGTCATCACTGCATAAACCAATGGTGATGCTTTGTTATACTACTCTCACACCATTACCCATACTAGTAGTCACCTTATAAGTGGTGAATTTTTTAAAATAAATCATTAGATGATGCTACTTATTTTGTATTTAAATCATCATTTTTAAAAACATCATTAAAACATAATTTTGGCTCCCGGTCTCTTTTCTCTGAAGACTCAAATGAACACGCTTCTTCAGCTTGATGTCTTTCGTCGTCTCTCCATTTATTAAAATCAGTCGTCGCACTCCAACCGTGTTATAAAGTTGAGACAGGTCTGTCAAATGCGAGCAGATTTATTGTCGAGATCTAATCCTAAACAGAGAACTTGTTCATATATACATTCACATTTTCTATTTCGTTCAAAAATGTTTTTCGAGTTTGCAAGTAATCAGCAAAGTCTTTTTGCAACACCGGCAAAGGTTGTTAACACTCATTTTTCTTAAATACTTTTTCCAGAGTGCGTGGAGTTCAGTTCTGTTGACATCTATGAGTCGCTCAACATACAGTACGTCACTTGCTGCGTTGCTCTGATTGGTTGTAGGTCTGTCCAATTGAGTGCAGAGTTTTTTAAGACACGCCTCATAATCAAAGCCCTATGGAGCAGAATCAGACTCACATTCTGAATAGAATATGAGTGTAGCCGCTTTCCGACCAAGTAGTTACAGGAAGTTAGTTATAGGAACTGTCCACTTCTAAACAGTTCTACTCTTCCCCAAACTTAGTTTTGCTGCTTGCGTTCGCAATGGCCAAGTGGCTATAGGAACTGGTAGGACGCAAGCACGGCGACGGTCTTACAACAAACCAGCATGGAGGAGGCTATTGCAATGTTCCTGGTTCCTGTTCTGCCTTGCCGGGACCTTAATAACGGAGAACGAACGGCGGCGTTTAAAGATTATGCAGAGATTATACAGAGAAACACAGAAGACGAAGGCTCCAGCGTAATATGATATTAAGTAATATGATGGAAGAAGATAAAAGAGCAGAGCGCAGGAGGCAAACAAAACGACGGGTAAGTTTAGCTATTATTAGCAATCAGCTGGTTGAATGCGTTATGTTTGTCTTAATCCTCGTTGTAATGTTTTTCAAAAACACACAGCGTATGGCAAATAGCGCGCTACAAGTTCCGTGTTGACAGTGGGCATGACTTATAAGTTGAACCAATCAACGTAGACCTAGGGAAAGGGAACTAAAAAAGTCCTCGCTCTAGACTAGGTACTGAAAGAGTTATAGGAACTACGGTCTGAGGAACTAAAAAATCCCCAATTTAGTCCGGTCGGAACACGAGAAAAAAATGGTTATAGGAACGTTAGGTTCTAGGAACTGCAAAAGTCCCTCTGGATCGGAAAGCGGCTTATGACGAAGTCAGGCTACTATCTTGTATTAGAGCAGTTAAAATTTGTGCTTTAAGTACAATTCTCTCATACTGATCACTGGATGTTTAACATGGCACCTCATGGCAAAGAACCCTCTAAGGATTTGAGAATTAGAATTGTTGCTCTCCACAAAGTAGACATAGGCTATAAGAAGATTAGTAACTGAGTTACAGTACAGGCCAGGGTCATTCAGAGGTTTTCCAAGACGTGTTCCCCTTGGAACAGGCCTTGCAAGGGTCAATCAAAGAAGTTGAATCCTCGTGCTGTGCGTTTTTGTCTCAAAAAACAGACGCATGATCATGCCAGCATTGCTTTAGAGGTTGCAGAAGCGGAAGGTCAGCTTGTCAGTTCTCAGACCATACACCACACACTGCAACAAGTCGGGTTGCATGGCCGTCGACCCAGAAGGAAGCCTCTTCTGAAGCTGGCTCACAAGAAAGTCTGCAAACATTTTGCTGAAAGCAATCTGTCCGAGAGCATACATTATTGGAACCATGTCCTATGGTCTGATGAGACTAAGATAAACATGTGTGGCTCAGAGGGTGTCAAGCATGTGTGGCGAAACCCTGGTGAGAAGTACCAAAAAAAATAAGTGTCTTGCCTAGAGTCGTGCCTGGTGGTGGTAGCATCATGGTCTGGAGCCGCACGAGTGCTGCTGGTACTGGGGAGCTACGCTTCATTGAGGGAAACATGGATTCCACATGTACTTTGACATTCTGAAGCATTTTGGGCCATCCTTTCAGATACTGGGCCGAACGGCATGATAAAGACCCCCAACACACCACCAAGATGACAACTGCCTTGCTGAGGAAGCTGAAGGTGATGGAGTGGCCAAGTATTTCTCCAGAACTGAACTCTATTAAGCAGCTGTGGGGCGTCCTCAAGCGGAAGGTGGAGAAGCGCCATGTGTCTAACAGCCAGCGGCTCCATGATGTCATTATGGAGGAGTGGAAGAGGGTCCCAGCAACAACCTGTGCAGCTCTGGTGAACTCCATGCCCAGGAGGATTAAGGCAGTGCTAGATAACAATGGTGCTCACACAACATATTGACACTTTTAGACACAGTTTTGACATGTTCATTTAGGGTGTATTCACTTTTGTTGCCAGCTATTTTGACAATAATTGCTTTTTAATAAATTTAAAAGTTATTTTCAGAGGACAGTAAATATATACTGCTATACAAGCAGAACATTGACTACTCTAAAATATATCCAAGTTTCATTTCTACAATATTGTCCCTTGAGAAGATATACTAAAATTTTTGCTGAAATGTGAGGGGTGGACTCACTTTTGTGAGATAGTGTTTGTCTTAATTTTGCTTCTGAAGTAAATTTATCTTGATTAAAAAATGTTTACATGTTTGTACTGGAAAACAAAAATACTGACTAAGAAAATATATATACCTTTTATATACCGTTTATACCGATTTTGAAGCCTTGCCTGATAAATACTTCCCACTAGCAAAGTACATACATATTAGGATGAGCACTTCAGAGAATGATAACCTGGATAATACACTCCTCTTCAATTTCCACTCGGGTCCTGTGAGGCACTTCATTGTTTGAAGGCAGATCTTTGAGGAATGAAGGGCTGTACTGTGAATGCCGAGATCTGAAAACCTTTGTGGTTCCAGCAGAAAACGAGAACACAGGCGGCGTGTGCCACATGGGCAGGCCGTTCCCCTCCCTCTGCCACCTCACACTGTCTGTACTGGTTCCCGTTGGTAAGACTGGTGTGCCAAATTGCAGCTTACAGCAGGTAATTAGCCATCGTGGGAATATTTGTGGGACTGAGATAAGTAGATGGATCCGTTGCAGGGTCTGTCATCAATCTTCAAAACCCTCCAACCACACCAAGAGCCACAGTCAGCCTCTTTTTGAGGTTTAAACATGCAGGAACATCATGTACTGACCAGCTGACAAGGGAAAGACAGATAGTGTACAATATTTGAAGAGCGAGTTGCCCTGCTGTTCACTGGAGAGACGCAGCATGTGAAATGAACGGGATTTGCCACACAATTGATTGGTGAGGATTGCAACATATTTCTTTTTGTAAATTAGTATTTTTTATGTATTTACTTTTTTTAATGATTTGATTGAATCACTTTAGTTTTATTTCCACTTTTCAGTATTGGAATATTGGAATATTTATAATCAACATTTCTCTCGGGTCAAATTATAGGCAAGAACTCTGCTTGCAAAGCCAAAAAGAAATTCGACTGATTTGATAATTGATTGGTGAGAGGAACAATGCAATACTCTAGTATTTAAGTATTATTTATTAAGATTTTGAACAATTTTTAATTTTAGTACTCTAGTAGTTTTAGTAATTTAGTTTTTTGCTTTTGTCATTTTTATATCCCTTTAATTTTTTTCTCTATCAGTTATAGTACTTTATAGTTTTTCTTTTAATATTTTATTTCATTTCTGATTTATTGTATTTACTGAAAATAATAATGCCGCAAATTATATATTTTTTATTTAATAGTTTTTGTTAACAATAACAACACTGCACAAAAAAAGGATTCATATAATTAATATTTTTTTTGGTAATATTTTAATGATTTAAAAATATATATTTAACATTTATTTTTAATTAAATATTTTTACAATTATTTTAGCATTACTTATCAATCAATATTAAAATAAAGGGGGTTATTCACCACCTAAAAATGGGATTTTAATATAACTTGGCTGCATACAGTAGAAAGACGAGAAAACTGAAATTGGTGCTATTGAATACATAAAGAAGAATTCAAAGAGAGAGTTACTTTCAGTTTCCAGTGAAGGGTCCAGCACATAGACAGTGGCTAAAGGCTGCGATTAAAAAAAAAAAAAAAAAAAAAAAAACCTAACTTTAGGGGTAGGGATATGGTTATAACTTTGCTCACCAGCCACTGTGTCTAGTGGTTTTCCAAAGTTTCTAGCCACTCAGAATTTTCACTGGCCTCAATTTTGACATCGATGCCACAGGGAAAAACGGCTAAAGAGATATTTTTGCTGTCAATTTAAGACCTGATGCATGGATCAATTATACTGTTACACATGTGTTTTCTTTTTTTCTACTGTTTACGCTCACTTAAACATAACTGACTGTGTTTACATGAATACTCACCAAGACCGACTTGTGGAAAGATGAATGTGTATTTAAAATGGGTCATTTCTGTGTAAGAAATGTGATATTATTTTTGAATTTGGAGCTTTCTAGAATCTAAAATTTATTTTTGGCTTATGTGGATGAAAGACAACACCTCCCAGAATGCACTTGCTTTGCTGCCCTAGGAGGCCACGCCTACCAGTAACAGAGCGCAGTAGTTAAACAAACCTAGGTTACTAGTGAGTCTCCGTGATGAGTCTGCCCAAAAAATGTGTTTTGTGATCAGCCAAAATGTTCGGGATTCGGCTTTTGAGTTCAGTCACCATTCATGTTTACTGTGGCGAGCAGGACGAGTGAGGGCCGCGGGAGAACGGCGCGAGGCCGGTGGTGTGATTACCGATGAGAGACACCTGTGACCGGTCTCGTATCTCTCACGGAGGAGCGGGAATTTTCTTAGCAATGTTAAAACGCACATCAGATCACTTGTTTAGCGTTCATGTAAACACTACATACAGATTGACCAATCAGAATGAATTCAGTTAGATTGAAACAAAAGCTGTGCATGTAACAATGAATGGCGACTGCAGAAAGCAAAAGCTCGACGAACGAACATGTCCGGGAAAAAGAGGATGGTAACCCCTACTACTCAGCTTTCACCACAGAACAAGAGCCTGCTAGCTTAGCTTCCAAAAAATATGGCTGACACAATAGCCGTTTCTCAATACCAAGTACGCAGACTTCGGACTTGCGTCCTTGGTAGTTCAGACTTGCCAAGATCGACTACGGAGAACGAACTCCAGAGGATGCGAGGACGCAAGTCTGGTTCTTCTGCAAATGGAACAGAGCGTACTTGATCGATCGCGTCACTCAGCACGCTCTACTCTATATTTTAGGCAACAATAAAGCGAAATTTGCTACAACTCTGCAAATTTTCGTCAACAAAAAAAACGAAATATGTTATAAAACACCCCTGTGACTATTTTCATTAACAAAAAAACAACATGTTAGCCTAATGGCCATGTGGTTCAGGCAACGCGATTCTCTTCACTGCATATATTTATAACAAAATCAACATGATCTTTTTGTTTTCATTTTAAAAATATGAAACATCGATTTTTATTGACATTTATCAAACAGAGACAGTTTATGTCATTTTATTTTATTGTTCATATAGCGAAGATAATATAAAAAAAAAGTTGTTAAAGTTAAATAGCCATAAAGTAATGAAACCTCAAAAACTAGTTTTTTTTTTGTGCCATGGAACAAACTATATAATGAGACCAAAGATAGACTTATACACAAGACGAATTATAAGGTTTATCCACTAGACTAGAGAGATCAGAGCCGGCGGCAAACGTCAGAAGCACTAGCCGAGGATAAGCTGTTCCAGTCGGGGTTGATCTCGCTGAGTGTCCACTGAAGGCTTGGATGTCAGAACTCCGAGTCTGAAAACGTCTGATGCATTTTTCAGATAGGTGCTATCTTTATAAATAAACTACAGATTTGAGATTTAAACAACCACATTCTCGCCTGAAACACTCTTAAAATTACATTTCATGACTCAATAACAGTAGTATTTTGATATTTCGTGAATTTTCTCCTCTCCTATTGACGCTTGTTGGTTGGTGCGAGGTGCATTCTGGGTTACCTGGCTATCTCAAGTCCACACAAGTCACCTCTCGATGCATCCTTGGTAAACGGGGCAGATCAAGAACACATCCGGAGATTTGAAGTGGACTTGGCTAGATGTGAACTTTGAATTGGAACAGTACTTCGGCAGCGACTGATGAAGTTTCACAAGTCCACAAGAACACAAGTACAGACAAGTACTCATATTGAGAAACAGCTTATGTGTACATTCTGTGAGTGAGATCCCACCCTCTATGGGCGGGTTGAGAACATGTGGGACAGCCCCTACTACTGACTGTAGTCTTTAGCCTCTGGCCTAAAAATCCTCAGATGACGCAAAATGATGATTTTTGTGTCATCGGAGGATTTTTTCCTGACAAAAAAATACACAAATCTCTCGTCTCAGAGGGATATGAGGGTGGAAAGCATGGTAATTTGAAAATACTACAGGTTTTCTACTTATACAAAGCTAAATGCTAAATCCTGAAGTATCCCTTTAAGCAGAATAACCCGTGAAAAATGAGAAAGAGAAAGCACAGCTGTATCTATTCTGCAGAAAATGAGTATTGGAAGCGTTTCATATATGGCAGTATCAGTATGTTTGGTTGTTGACAGCAATACATTGCACTTTATTATTTAAGATAACTTTTTAAAAGACTACAAATGTTTGTATTATTTCAACCATTGGTCGGTGTCACTGCCAAGCCCTGGTTAGCACAACATTTTCGGACAGGAATGTTGTTTTAGGTTGGGGTTTTTTGCTGAAAATGTTCAACTTACATGGAGAAGGGGGGCGGGTAATATCGCGAGCGGGCAGGGGCGCCGTGAGCTCTAAGCGAGCAGGTACAAGTAGTGAGTTGTCGTCGAAAAAGATGGATAAAACAAAATGCTGTGGGGCTAAAAATAGGAAAAGAAAGAGAGAAAAGGATGGCATGTCAATTGATGCGACAGCAGCTAAATAACTGCATGCATTGCTGAAAGCCAACAGGTAGGATTTAAAATGTGACATCCAGGCATAGGCTATCTATATCTCGGTGGCCATCGGGACTACCGGGAGATTCCCGCTGGGCCGACATGCTTTTCAGCCAATACATTTCATCCTTTTTTAATTTATTTGTCTTAGCGGCCCACAAAACTCATACATCGGCAGCCCATTTGTTTGTTGTGTGTTTTTGTTTTGTTTTTTGCTTAATTGGCGGCGCTGTGCTGGTGTAATTCATTGGTCAAAAAAGGTCAGCTTTAGTTTTTTTTTCTGACACATGAAATATGTCATTATGCGCTTATATCTTTCAAGTATAGAAATTAGTGCAAAACTAATTATGAAAGTTTCCTTTATTTTTCTGTGCATTTGTTTTACAATAGCCTTTATGGCTATTACTATCATGGGATTAACATTATAACTATTATTATGTAGTAGTGTAATGTAGACAGACACTAGCTAAAAGAGGTTCAAATTTTTCTCTGTTTAATTTGCACCATGAATATGGGTTGGAGCTTTTAATTTTGAACTCTCAAAGTGCACCAGACTTCTGAATTTAACATTACAGAACACAAAATTTTCTTACGGGGGACCATGCCCCCGTACCCCCCTAGAGAAACAGAGGTCCACCTACCAAAGTTTTACCTAAAATCCTGTGAGAATCACTGGTATTGCTGTTCCAATGGAGCTTATAGTTTTCTTAGGGGGGTTCATCAAGGTGGAGTAGCTATAGTTTAATTGTGTTAATAAACAACAATTTTGCACTTATTTTTTTTCTGTTAGCTCTCATTTCTTCCTACTCACTTATTACACAGCACAATTACATTACATTTATTTTTCCTTTTTTTTTTTGGGGGGGGGGGGGGGGGGGTGCTAAAATTATTGCTGCATACCCCTCTGAAACTGGGTAGTTGCGCCCCTGAACTTACAGCTTGATAATATTGCACTTTGCACACTGTTGGATAGATGACTTATACTAATGAATTGAAAGCTGCCATCTCCTCCAACCTGTTAGTGGGATTTTGACCTACTCTTTGCCCTCAAACTTGGGAAAATGAAACCCGATCTTTTCTTAAAATCAAGGACCCCGTTTTTAGATTATTTTAAATAAAGAAAGATTAATTTAAAGAAACAAGCTCTGGATAAAACGTGATTTTTTTTATTTTTTTTAAAAATTTTTTCTTCTGGTTTATTACCAGTAGTTGTTTATATGTACTGTGATTGTATTCATATTCATTCATATGTGAGAATTTATTATGCTTGTTTATTTTTTGCTTTTCCCCCTCCATTTAATTCTGTGACAATCTGATACTTGTATTGTGCTTAAGATGCTTTTCTTAATAAATAAAAAAGATCAACCAAATATGATGACCCAGCAACGCGTCTAACTAATACGAAAATCTTTGGTTTTGACGAAAGCTACCTCTGGAGCTGTCAAATGTCTGCTGGATGACGGACAAATAAACTGACAAATGTACTCAAATTTCTTGGCCTAGGTAACACGAAAATGGAGTAAACATTGTCCATTTACATAATCAACCAACATTGTAACAATACCAAGTGGGTTGAAAATCAGCAAAGTTACACTTTAAGTACATTTAATCAATATTTCTCTTTGTTCATCTGCCTATTGGATTCTTTTTTTTTCCACTGAGATTTATGTTGCAATACATTATGAGATTGCATGCTTTGCATCAACTTTTCCTCTTAGCATACCTCACAAACATCAAGACATTCTTGACCAGTCGTCTTGCTCGCAGCAATACGGCAATCAGGTGTTTGAGCAGTAGAAGATGGACAAGGTGGTGTTTGTAGCACCAGGTATCTGAGTATAGACAATCAGGTTCTCGAGTCTTCAGATTTCATGCCATCGACTCTCCAGTTCTCTTCTTTCCGCAGGTAGCGGAGATAATGGTCTTCAGAGAAAACAAGATAACTGTAATTGAGCTCAATCACTCATGGACATCCGACGGTCAATCAATGGGTTTCTTTGGAGACCTGGAATATGTCGGCCTCATCAGAAGCACCCGAGAAAAGAGCTCAATTCTCTGCACGTCCAGAGAAACTGTGTTTTAAGATTGCGGATAAAATGGTAAGTGGGGATGTGTGATATAATATAATTGTGCAATGTGATTTTGTCTGAGATATTATTTTTAATCTTGAAGTAGGTTGCTAAGCAGCATGTCATTATAAGAATTGTCAGGTAGACTATTATTTTAAGGGGTTTTGTGTTTGTCAAGATAATGATCCCGGGAAGAGACTGCCACTAATGCAAAAGAAATGGAAGGAATCCGTCAAGTACAGATTGCATGCTGGAGGAGGAATTGAGAAGGAGATGAGAAATGGACATCAGCTGGAAGTGGGAGAGGAATGGCTTGGGGAGGAGGAAAATCTCTGAATGACAAATTTGTATGTCAGAGGTACTCTACATAGAGAGGTAAGCTAAAGAGATTTGCTTTTTAAAACGCAGTACGCCACGATACGATTTCTAATTTGCATAGATCAGGTCAAATGTTTAAGCTCATACACAAAACCACCAGTCACATGAAGTGTGAAGTGATTTTGACTTTGTCTTGGAAGTATGTGTGAAATCAACAGAGATAATTGCAGTTTACACCTCACAGGGCATCACCCAGTTCCCAAATTGCTTCATGAATGGTAACAAATGAACCCATGAACTTAAAATTACAGCTATAACAATTCAGTTTTTCCGAGGCATTTAGATACCCGATGGCTTGTGGCGTATATGTGTTCTCTTGGCAGTGGCATCATAACTGCACTCTTAAAGGAACAGTTCAGCCAAAATTTCGTCTATACAATTTTCTTTCTTTCATGGAACTCAAATAAAGATATTAGATTGTTCACGCTGCTTTTTCCAGACAAAAAAAAAGGCATAAAAATGTCATAAACGTACCATAAAAGTTGTCTGTATGCATTAAAAATAAAAAGTGGCCTATAAAAAGTATCTGTAAAGTTGTAGTCAGTAAATTCCAAGGCTGTGTTCGAAATCACTATTCACTATTCCATACATTAGTCCACTAATATACAGGGATTGGACAATTGGAAACTGAAACACTGGCCAATATAGTGTTGGAGGTTTCACTCATATATATGTTCGGCCTGGTGGCCAATCTCCACTGATTTCACAATAAAATCTGTAAGAACAGAGTGTGAAGGTTGAACTATCAGAGCAATAGCACAGCTAAAATATTGAAATCCACACAACATAATGGGAGACATATCAGAGTTCAAAAGAGGACAGAAGCTCATCTGTGACAAGGACAGCGAGTCTCTGTGGCGTATCAAGAGCTGGATAGGATGAAGGGATGTAAAAGTACTTGGGGATCTAAAAGGGATGTCCAGCTAATAACCTGGATTGTAAAAAAAAAACAAAATAAAAAAAAAACATAAAATCACAGCTGCCCAACTCACTGCAGAATTAAACACCCACCTTAACTCTCACGTTTCCACCAAAACTGTTCATCGGGAGCTCCATGTGGTTAATATTCACTGTCGGGCTGCCATAGCCAAACCTTCGGTCACTCGTGCCAATGTCAGATGTCGGTTTCATTGGTGCCAACAGTGGAAATCTTGGGCTGTGGACAATGTGAAACATTGTTCTCTGATGAGTCCATCTTCACTGTCTTTCCCACATAGACAGTGTGGGAAAACCCATGTAGTTACCTTATAATACCCAATACTGCCTTAGTACTGTAGTTTACAGCAGAAAAAAAAAAAAAAAAAAATCAATGACAAAATTAAAAAACAGTCAGTGGCAATAAAAGCAAAATATAATTTTGAGAAAATGCAGTTAAAAATAAGCGGGTCTTTTTTATTTATTTTTAAAAACCTCTATAGACTGTGGCGCCGGTGATTAGGTAGAGCATTCCAAATTCGAGGTCTCCCATAGTGCGGAGTTTGGACATAGGAACCTGGAGTTTGTGGCTGTCAGAAGAGCGGAGATGTCGGGGTGGATTATGAAAATTAATGAGTTCTTTAAGGTACTCTGGTGCACTACCGTAGACACACTGATAGGTCAGGAGACAGATCTTGCAAACAATCCTGAATCTAACCGGGAGCCAGTGGAGTTTTTGGAGGATGGGTGTGATGTGCTCAAATTTGCGCACCCCCATCAGGACCCTGGCAGCGCAATTCTGGATGTACTGCAATCTTTGCATGCTCCTGCCAGGGATCCCAATGAGGAGTGAATTGCAGTAGTCAAGCCTGGAGGAGACATTGGCATGCCCCAGCATCTCTGCATCAGAAAAGGAGAGGGAGGGGCGAAGTTTGGAAATGTTCCGGAGATGAAAAAATGCCATTTTACAGGTGTGTTGGATGTGAGTGTTAAATGATAGATGGGCGTCAAATCGAACTCCCAGGTTTGTTATAGAGGATGTCAAAGGAATGTCATGGCCAGTAAATGAGTAGACGGTCAGGGGGGAAGATCGGAGTTGGTGCGGGGTCCCAATAAGGAGACCTTCAGTTTTAGTGCTGTTTAGCTGGAGGAAGTTATCCGTCATCCATGCCCTTGTCTCCTCCAGGCAGGTGTTTAGAGTGGAGAGTGATGGTGTAGATGATGTGGGGTCTGGCCTGACATATAGCTGAGTATCATCAGCATAGCAGTGGAAGGCAACGCCATGCTTGCTGATGATGTGGCCCAGTGGGAGCATATAAATGGAGAAAAGGGTAGGGCCGAGAACGGAACCCTGGGGCACTCCACATGTAACTGTGTGGGGCCTCGACCTGGCTCCCCCAGGGCCACATACTCAACTCTGTCAGTCAGGTAGGATCGAAACCATTGAAGTGCTCTATGTGAGATGCCAATGAGGTGTTGCAGACGATGGAGTAAAATGTTATGGTCAACAGTGTCGAAGGCGGCTGAGAGGTCCAAGAGAATAAGGAGAGATGGAGAGCCCTGGTCAGCAGCCACAAGAAGATCATTGGTGACCCTGACCAGGGCTGTCTCTACACTATGGCTGGAGCGGAAACCAGACTGAAATTTTTCATAGAGACTATGTGAGTGAAGATGATGACTACTTTTTCAAGGATTTTGAAGAGAAATGGAAGGTTGGAAACCGGCAGAGAATTTGATAAGATATCAGGATCAAGAGATGGTTTCTTAAGCCGAGGGTTGATAAGCGCAGTTTTAAGCAAGATTGGAAAATGACCCGATTGCAGGGAAGAGTTGATGATAGTAGTGATGAGAGGACTTAAAGAAATAGTATTTGATTTGATCATGGCAGTGGGAAAAGGGTCCAGTGAACACATTGAGGGTCTCATACTGTGTATGAGAGTCTCAACTTGTCTATGTGTAGGTGTAGTGAAATGAGAGAGTATTGGTGCAGAGATTGGGGTGATGGATGGAATGACATTGCTTGGTATTAGATTAGCGTGGATGGTAGTTATTTTTGTGGTGAAAAAAATCAAGGAATTTATTACACTGGTCATCAGTATTGTTTTTATGCCTCAGGGCAGGTGGACTGAGAAGATAGTTTACTGTTTTAAAGAGCTGTTTTGGATTTCTTGGATTATTGTTAATGATATTGGAATAGTATTGTGACCGTGCCTGACTGAGTAATTTGGAATATGATCTTTGGTGCTCTCTATTAGTGATTTTGTGTACAGTGAGCCCAGTGGCAACATAGCGCCTCTCGAGGACCCTCCCCAGCCGTCTTCTGTCTACGAAGCGCATCAGTGTACCACGGAGCAGAGCGTGTAAATGTTACAGTCCATGTCTTGAGGGGCGCATGGGCATCAAGAATCCCTTTTAATCCGATATTGTAATGAAAGACAAGCACGTCAGTAGTAGAGTGATAGGACGATATGATTAGTTTTTGTAAATCACGTTACAGATGTTCAAGGTTAATTTCTTTTGTTCGGCGAAAGCAGATTTTATGTTTAGGTTTATTAAGTGAGGTCAACAGTGAAAAGTCGAATGAAATGGCATTGTGATCAGATATGCCTAAATCGTGTACATGAACATTGTTAACCGGAAAGTTTGTTACAATGAGATCCAATGTGTGCCCTTTGGTATGTGTAGGGACTGTCACGAGTTGCCTGAGGTTGAGTGAATCAAACAGTTGTAAAGTTCTGTGGTATATAAACTTGTTGGAGATTCAACATGAATGTTAAAGTCTCAGAGAATTTCCACATGGTTTGATGTGGTGCAAACTGGCAAAAGTAACTCAGTTAATTCTGCAATAAAACACAGGTGTGATTTTGGTGGTCGGTATATGAGGATGGTTGTAAATGGAGTGGGTAAATCACATTTAAAAGCCAGACATTCAAATGACGACAGCTTTGGCAAGGACACCAAAGATAGGTGAAAATCAGAGCGATAAATGACCGCCAAACCCCCTCCACGACCATTTCCCCTAGATTTTACCAGATAAGTATAGCCAGGTGGGCAAGCCTCATTAAGTGCAAAATACACTTCTGATTTATGCCAGGTCTCAGTGAGGCACATAAAATCAAGCTTATGATCAATTATATAGTTGTGAATAAAAGATGCCTTATTGGTAAGTGATTGACAGTTTAACAGTTCCATTTTAATATTTGGAGTCCACTTTATCAGAAAGCGCAGCACGGTAGGATCCACTCTGCGTTTCTCAGGACGCGCAGTGGGTAGTTCCTCCTGCAGGGGGCGTGGGTGTGGTCGGTTACAGTATTTGAAGCAGTATTTACAGTATATGTGCGCCGGTACTAGCAACTGTCCACAGGCTTGGAATAGAGCTCTCGGTGATCCTCTCGGAGTAAACAAATCGCCGCCGTGACCCTCTATAAATGTAGGGGGGTTGACGAAGGATGCCCAGTTCTTTGAGAGAAGCAATGTTCGATGGGATAAAGCGAGTGTTAAGCTCCAAGAGATGATTCGACAGATAGCGAATCATAGTGGGTGTAAGAGTCATTGTAATGCTACAGTTAGCAGCTATCGATGGATCCGGCAGACGTGGATAAATGATGACCATGTACACCAGGACAAGTGGCAGTGCTTTTAGTGACTTAGAGTGCAAGTGTGACATCCACTGGAAGTGTTGGGAGCCCATGTGGACTGCAAAACTTGGTTTTAGGACAGTATATGGTGGTAGCAGCCGACTAGCCTAGCCACGATTATCATTTGAAACATAGCAAACTGGAAGCTTCCAGTAGTAATGCAAAGATCTGTTTAATTAAGGTTTATACATAGTTTCCATGACAATGTAATAATCACTTAAATAGTAATTTATACCTGTATGACATTAATCTGTAGCCACATTAGACAGCAGTTTGGAAAATGGATCGCAAAATTTTCGTTTCCCTGAATGTTTTTTTTTTTTTTTTTTTTTTTTGGGAACACAAATTCTTGGCACTTGCTCACAAAACTTGCAAAGTTTCTCGGGAACATAACAAAATCATTGAAATATATATATATATATATATATATATATTTCAGTTAGT